AGAGAGAGAGAGAGAGAGAGAGAGAGAGAGAGAGAGAGAGAGAGAGAGAGAGAGAGATGGCGGGAAGAGGGAGAGTGTGGCATTCTGAGCCACACGGGCCCCAGTTAGGGCCCGGTTCCATCTAGGTCAGGGTACGCCTAGGGGTAGGACGGTTCAGATCAGGCCCAGGCAGACCTAGGAGTACGCCGGTTCAGTTAGAACCCGGTAGGCCTAGGTGTAGGGGTCTAAGACAGGCCCAACGGTCACATTGGTTCAGGCCGGTACCGGTCCAGCGGTAGGACCTACCGGCGGCACAGTTTGAACAGCAGCCAAGTTAGGCCGCCACTTTCAGATTCCGGCAACAGGATCTGAACCATTGATCAGATCAACGGTCCAGACCCAAGGTACCAGCAGCCTTGAGGCTGGCCCCGCACTATATTAGCCGGGTACCAGCCTCAGTAGGGTAGGTTAGTCTACAGTTAGTCTACGAGTTAGTCTTCAGGATTAGTGCAGCGTTTCAGCAGGAAGATGAGCCGCGAGAAGGGATTAGCGCAGCAGCAAGGAGGAACAGTGCAGCAGCGCCTTAGCGGAGCAGTGGAATAGCACCAGCCTCTGGCCCAGCCCGCGGCCCAGCGCCGAGTCCTGCAGCGCCATAGCTGCATAGCCAGGTACCAGGGAGAAAGGCTTCGCCTTTCCTCCCTCTTCTTCCTTCTCCTCTCTCTCTCTCTCTCTCTCGCTCGCTCGCTCTCTCTCTCTCTCTCTCTCTCTCTCTCTCTCTCTCTCTCTCTCTCTCTCTCTCTCTCTCTCTCTCTCTCTCGTCTAAGTCCGAGAGGACTTCTTGGATCACACTACTGGACTACTACGACTATGAAGGATGGTTACGAGTTCTGATGATACTAGAGGTAGCGACGGTGAGACTGCAGGTTGAGGACTACTTTTGGGATCTGACTTCATCTACCTCTGAGGATGTATCTTGACATTGTGAGGCCGATATCTGAGACACTGTGAGACTGCAATCAGACTCGCTTTCTTTTCCACTTCGCATTCATGCAAACAGATGACATGTCACACTGGCGCTCAGCGCCCACTCAAAGCTCAGAGAAACTCGAAAACGCAGTTCAGATACATGCTCTCTTCAACAGGCTATGGCGCATCAGCGCGTGTACAACTCTCTGTTAGTCACTGTGCTCAACTCCGCTGTTCACACACCCTCAACTCAGGATTACCCTGGATATTCCACACGCGACACACTGTCTCACACACACGCACACACCACACTCGCCTATCACCTACGGCGGCTATGGCCGCTCAACCCTGCTGGCTATGGCTACTCAACCTCTACTCTGCCCGCTTCGTCTTCGGGCGCTGCCTCTTGATTTATACTTCTGCAGCTCGTTGGTCTGCCCCTTTCCCTTGCCCCTGGTGCACTCAGTCCCACACGGTACTTGCTTGACTGGACTGTGACTGACTGGGACCGGTACCGCTGACTGCATGGGTTTGCACTGCCAATTCGATGCAGTCGCACTGCCGACGTACTTCAGTTGGGCTCACCACTTGCCCACTTGCCTCTGTCTTAACGTGAGCAAACTTCGAAAGGCCGCTACTGGGACCTTCCGGAAGTCTGTAGACTTGGCCTTTCGAATACTGTAGCAGCTACGACCTTGACCTTTCAGGACTGTAGCAGCTACGACCTTAACCTCTCAGGACACCTACAGCTACGAGCTCTAGGCCTCACTACGACCTCTATCCAACAGGTCTACAGATCGAACCCCTACCACTTACGGACCTACGACAGCTTACCAACTGTTGTGAATACACAGGTCACGAGTTCAACTCTCGGGGTCGACACAGATACTGTCCACAGGCAAGGTAACAACTAGGGATCGAACCCTGGGATCTGCATTCGCTACTGCTAACAGGTGAATACCGTTTCAGAGACTCTGTGTTCGCGACATTTCGGATTTTCGTTATTTCTGACATTTTGAGATACTATCTTTGGAAACATTGAGTTGACGTCATCTTTCCTCTCCTCCTCCCTTCGTCTCTCCTCCCCTCCATGCATCCGTGTATGAGAGTTGACCCTGGCCTTTTCTTCTAAGTCCAGGGCTTCACACCACCGATGTATGTTTGTGAGTGTTTCGTTGCAGTCTGAGTCAGGTCTGAGTCGATCCATGTATCTCAAGTCTTCCGCTGTATTTGTATGTACTCTGTATTATCTGGTCGGTTCTGGGAATCTGCGCCATACTTATGACTGTGTTTCACGAGCATGCAACAGTTTGGTATCGGAGCAGACCAGCATTGGATGACTCACCATTGATTGATTGATTGATTGATGAATTATCTACACCTGTACTCTGTTATCAAGAGAAAAATTTCCCCCCCACAAAAAATTTGCTTGCCTCCCTCCTTTCTTCCCACCCCTACCTTCTCTCTCCTCCTCTCGGTACTGCGGACTTCAGTCTCCGGCCACGTCAGCATTGAGCCACATCAGCAGCATGCCACGACAGCAGATTGCCACATCAGCAGCATGCCACCTCAGCGTGCCACGACAGCAGATTGCCAAATCGTCAGCGTGCCACCTCAGCAGTGCCACATCAGCAGGGTGCCACCTCAGCAGTGACACATCAGCCACAACGAAGCCAGGATTACTAGATGCGCCGCAGTCAACGACTTGCTGAGCGCGGATCCAAGGAAACCAAGCCCCAACAGGGACCTAAGACACCCCGGATCCCGAGCAGACGACGCACGACCATGGCCGCCACCGCTGACGCAAATTCACAAGCCAGCTCCGCGAGGCCGGCCACTTCCCCTATGCCAGTGCAATTGGCAGCAATGCAAACTGCTGGCCATGGGACAAATCTTCATCCGCTACGAAACAACTTTTCGGACGCTGGAACAGAAGATCGCCACCTTGCCGACTGCGAACAGCGACCAGCAGGCGATCAACGACCAGATGCAGACCACTGTCAGCACAGGGTTGGCACGACTATCTGCAGTTGAGTCGACGGGCAGTGCAGTAGCAGATTGCAGCCCAGTTTTGGCCGCCCAAGCCAAACAACACGAGGAGCGGATCAACCACGTAGT